CGGCAAAGCCGCGAGTCTCCTTTATTTTGACAATATCTGATAGTGTGAGGTTTTGACAAAATCGGGGGGTATATGGTATCAAGGCTAGCACGATATTTTGAAAAGGCTCAATTTACATTTTTTAAATATGAGCATTACTATTTAGACATTTTTAAACGTTTTTGTTTTCAAAATTGTTTAAACCGGTATTTCTAGACACTTCCTCCCCAACTGTCTTTTGTAGTACGATGTTTTGAAAAGTCTGGATTGACATTCTTTTAAATCTAAGCATTTCTTTAATAAATTTTTAAATGTTTTTTTTGCAAGTTTAGAATTTTTTTTAATCTAATACATCTGACACTTTCTTAGTCTCCTCAACTGTTTTTGTGCGATGTTTTGAAATGTCTCTATTAAAAATTTTTTAAATCTAAGCATTTCTTTAATAAATTTTTAAATGTTTTTTTTTGCAAAAAACGTTAGCTCAATTGCAACCACACGACCAAAAAATTATAGATAAAACTCTGTATGAAAAATCTATCAAAATTCTATTGTGATAAAATCTATGTATTATCAAATAAGAGTAGAGCTTTTAAAACACAATCGCAAAATTTTTGAAAAAAGCTCGACAAATGTTATTTAAAGTGCTCCAAGAATACGTAAAAAAACCCAAATTTTAAAAATACCAAACTGTTAATAAATGCTACAAGACATTTTTTCTTTTAGAATGCCACGAGTAATAGAGTATAGAATTTTTCTTTAAAGTTTGTAAAAAAACCTTTAGCCTTTTTGAGTTTTATTTTGTAAGTTACAATTTTTTGTATTATTTGAAAATTAAACAGATTTTTTTATTATATTGGCTCCTTCTTTTATGCGTATTCCTGATATTCCTGAAACTTTTCAATTTTTTTTCCAAAAACCTCTGCGTTTCTCAAATTCTAATGCTTCTAAAACTGAATAAAAACTTAAGCTTCTTTAAAATGCACAGTTTCTGGGATCCTGAAAATCCTCATGCAAACTTAATTTTTTTACTAAAAATTTTACTAAAAAAGACGATAAAGCAACAAAAATAAATAAATGTACATATTTAAAAAAGACAAATTAAAGAAACATGTTTCATTACAAATTTAAAAAAAATAGAAAAAAGTGTTTTGGGGTGTCCAAATAAAACTTGATTCACTCTGTGTATTTTAAACTTTTTCAGAGCCACTTTCATAGTTGATATAACGTTTTAATTGCTAATTTTTCAACATAAATTTTATTTCTTGCCTTTATTCTGACCAAAAAAAAAAACAAATATTAATCTAAAAATCATATTTTTTATTTCACATAAAATCTAGTAAAAGGTTGTAAGGTTGATAATTGTGTCCAAAAAATTTATTTTTAATTTCGAAAGCAAAAAACCAAGATCTGAAGCAGTGTTTATAAACTGTTTTATTTCTTTGTACAGTTACTGGGATCCTGAAAATCCTGATGCAAACTTCACTTTTTTACAAAAAATTTTACTAAAAAAGACGATAAAGCAACAAAAATAAATATAAGTATATATTTAAAAAAGGCAAATTAAAGAAATATGTTTCAATTAAAAATAAAAAAAAATAGAAAAAAGTGATTTGAGGTGTCCAGATAAAACTTGACTCACTATATGTATTTTATTTTTTTTTCAACATTAATTTTATTTCTTGCCTTTATTCTGACCAAAAAAAAAAAAACAAATACTTATTTAAAAATCACATTTTTTTTACATAAAATCTAGTAAAATTGTTTTTGGAAGGTTAATTGTGTCKAAAAAAAAAWTTTTTACTTTTGAAAGCAAAAAACCAAGATTTGAAGCAGTGTTTATTAAAAAATGTTTCATTTCTTTGTATTTTTATTCCTATATCTTCTTTTTAACTCATTTATTTCTAAGCATAAAAATTTTAATATTTCGAAAATAAATTAATAAATAATGTAACAGCCAAAAAATAACAATTGTTCTGATTAATAATGTTACGAGTATTTAATTCTAAATGATAATATTTATTTTCTACTTTATCCACTAGTGAATAAATTATTGTTTCAAGGTTGTTTGACGGTTCCAAATTTATGCATTTCTTCTCCAAATTTTGTCGATGCGACAAATTCGTATGGCCGCGCAATGTCTAAATTTCTGCAAACTCTACAATAATTTTTAAATTTTTAGATTTTTTCTACCTCCTCTTAATAAAAGACTACGAGCCACCACTGGAGACTTGGCATCAAAAATATCCAATTGAAGTCGTAACCCTTCTCATAAGAAAATCAGACAATACAATTGACAAAATTTACAATCATGCTTCGTAATGGTTTCAATGAATTAGTTGTGGGACACAGGAAGGAAAGCGCACCTCTTCGTCTATGTCATTTTCAACTAAATCTAAAGCACGTTGAGCAATACGTCCTCCACGGGAGTCGAAAAGATGTTTTTGTCGTATTGTTTTTTCGGCCCGGAGACGGGAAGTTGACAAATCTTCGTCAGCGAAGGCTTCGTCGTGACGATCGAGGATTTCTCTGGCGATTGAGGGGCGCAAAGGAGAGGGAGCTCGAGGTGAGTATTTGCGATCTATGCTGTCCAAAGCTGATCTGTAATAGTTTTGGCCAATGTTGTAATTGGCGTCGTAAATGCGAGTTCGGGGTCTGCTGAGGATCGTACGGCCCGACATTTTTCTGAAACAAACTGAATTTCAAAATTTCGGAGGGATTCATTCGAATTTATAAATACAGGGACTTTTTTCATGGTTTGCATATCTTTTTGAGAAAAAAACTTTTACAAAATTTTGTCTAGGGGCATCATAAATAAAGGGTGAATGAATGTCATGTGCATTAACCTATTTTTGGAGTTATAAGCATTTTAATATAATTTGTTTTTGGTAAATAAAATCACATGATATACAGGGTGCGCCAGAACTCGCGCCCCAGAGAAAAATGTCATATAAGGTAAGATATCAGAAACATGGAAAAAATTTTAAAAAAATTTTATCTATAAAAATTTTGAAGTTATGAGGGTTTAAAGTTTGCACTTTGACTCTATTTATTTCAGTTGGAAAAATAATTTTTCAAATTTTTTTGCTATAGGCTATTAAAAGAGGAATTAAGGAAGCTGTATCCTAAATTGTAACTCTTTTCAATGTTATTTGTGGCTTTTATTGGCAAAATTTTTGTCTCTTTACTAAATAATTGTAAAAAAAACATATACAAGATAAAAAATTGATAAAAGTGTTATGTACCAAAAAACAAGCTTTATTTTCTAATATAAACTTTGTGATAACTGTTGCTTTATAAAAATATTTCAAGTTTAAGAAAACATTTTTAAATGAAATTCTAACGGCACAATATAAAAAAGTGCACTTTATTCTGTCCCGAAAATTAATATTCTCATTTAAAAGATTTTTTTCTTGTTTACTTGGAGTAATTTTTAAGCTAGTTCATCGACTTTTCGAAAACGGTTTTTCATATTAACACCATATTTTTCAATAAGAGACGAAATTATCTACAAAAATTTAGACAAAAATATACCGAAAAGTCACCAAATTAAGTGAAAAATAATGAATTTTGCTTGTTTACATCACGTTTTTTTGTAAGATTCTGTTAAAATATATTGAAAAATTACCAAATTGGGTAAAATGACCTTTTTTATGATTTTTTGGGCGTTGTAGCACGTTTTTCAATTGAAAATTTACAAAACTATTTCGTCACAAATCACTAAATTTACTCAAAAATTATTTTGTATTACTTTCACTTTTTTAGATTGTACTAAAAAAATTGTTCAAAAATAATACTATTTTTCCGTTTCAAGACGTTTTTCAGAATCGCAATTGTTTTGAAAATTTTCGTCGAAAATAAGGTAAAAAGTAATAAACTATCACGAAACTTATTTTTGCTTCTTTGGAGAATTTAAGCATGTTTTTGAGCCGAAAAATCATCTTGTTGCTTTTCCAAACGTTTTGGCAGATTTTTCAATCAAAAGCACAAAACTTCGTCAAAAAAAGCCGAAAAATCACATAATTAATTCGAAAATGATGTTATTTTTGCATTTTTCAAACATTTAGTTGCGGTTTTAAGTTTAAAACAAAGTTTTTTCTTTAATTCGTGCTAAAAAACATACCAAATTTAATACATATACCAGACTAAATAACAAACGACATAATTTATGCATTATTTATTTCCGAGCAATTTTAAAACATTTTTCAATAAAAAACGCAATTATTTTGCAAAATTTTGTCAAGAATACGTCGGAAAGTAATTGAATTAAGTAAAAATAGTGTTATTTGTGCTTTTGTAAAAAATAATGAATTTTGCTTGTTTACATCACGTTTTTTGGAAGATTCTGTTAAAACATATTTAAAAATTACCAAATTGGGTTGAAAATGACCTTTTTTTATAATTTTTTGGGCGTTTTAGCACGTTTTTCAATTAGAAATTTACAAAATTATTTCGTCACAAATCGCTAAATTTACTCAAAAATGGTGTTATTTTTACATTTTAGATTGTGCTAAAAATTTTGTTCAAAAATACCATTTTTCCGTTTTAGGACGTTTTTTTTAGTCAGAATCGCAATTGTTTTGAAAATTTTCGTCGAAAATGAGGTAAAAAATGAATAAACTATCACGAAACTAAAATTATTTTCGCTTCTTTGGAGAGTTTAAGCAAGTTTTTGAGCCGATAAATCGTCTGTTGCTTTTACAAACGTTTTAGCAGATTTTTCAATTAAAAGCACAAAACTTCGTCAAAATAATCCGAAAAATAAAATAATTAATCCGAAAATGATGTTATTTTTGCTTTTTTCAAATATTTAGTTGCGTTTTCAAGTCTAAAACAAAGTTTTTTCTATAATTCTTGCTAAAAAACAAACCAAAATTAATACATATACCAGACTAAAGAAAAAACGACATAATTTATGCTCTTTTCGAGCGTTTTAAAACATTTTTCAAAAAAAACGCAATTTTTTCGCAAAATTCTGTTCCGAATACGTCGGAAAGTAATTGAATTAAGTAAAAATAGTGTTATTTGTGCTTTTTTAATATGTATTTATTATTTATTTATTATTTATTTATTATTTATTTATTATTTATTTATTATTTATTTATTATTTATTTATTATTTATTTATTATTTATTTAT